TGAAAAAAAAAAAGAATACTGGAGTGGGTTGCCATTCCCTTCTCCAGAGGACCTTCCCGACCCAGGGATCGAACCCATGTCTCCTGCATTGCAGGCAGATTCTATACCGTATGAGATACAGGGAAGTCCATATCCACCAAACAAACAAACAAACAAACAAACGCAGAACAAAACGCTGTGAGGGCACGGTTTTAAACACAGCAGATCAAACAGCCATCAAGACTGCTTTCAGGCAGGAAATGAAGACACAAGTCCACGAAGCAGCTAACAGGCCTGAGACGACAAGATCAGATCTGTAAGAGCATCGGTGAGATGTGATCCTCACTGGATATACACAGTTACTCTAATGGGATTCCTTGGAATTGAAAAGGGGAAGCTGAATTTTAGTGTACATCCAGTAGCATAAACCACAATCACCTGCTAAAAATAAAGACTCTCACCTCACGCCATTTGAAGATGCTCAGGTCAATGGAAAAGTGGCACTGCTTTATTATTCTTCTTCACAGTTCAGTTTCCTGAGATAGACTGTTTTTTGCGCTAAGTCAGTTGTGACATTTATGACCATCCTACCCATTTGGTAATAGAGTAACTTCCATTTGTTGGTGGTATATGAGGGCTTCTGGCTTCTCTTCCCTACCGTCATGAAAGGTTGCAATGAGAACCAGTCTACAACCAAGTGTTTTGGCACAAACAAACATTTATTACCAAGCAGGTATGACAACTGTTTGCAAACTAGCCAGTCAACTCAAAAAGGGCCAGCTCTCAATGCTCTGACAGTAACTCCAGGAAAGTTTCACTCAGGACAGTCAATGAGGTTATCCTGGCAGTAATGAGGCTGCAAAGAACCCTAGGAATCTGTACCTGGACCTGGACCACTGTATTTCCTGTCTGTTTGCTTTCCATTTACCTTTATCTATATGACATCTGTCTATATTTATAAATATAGATAGATGATAGATATATGTGTGTGTGTGTGTATTTGCTATTATCTGAATATTTCTCTCCCCACAAAACTCAGAACCCCCAAAGGTGGGTTTAGGTCACTGTAACAAAATACCGCAGACTAGGAAGCTTATAAACAACAGAAATTTATTGTTCACAATCCTGGAGGCCAGGAGTCTGAGCAGCGGGCCAACTTGGTCAGGTGAGGCCCCTTTATCCAGGGCACAGACTGTCTGAATCCTAGAGGGTGGGAGAGGTTAGGGTACCCTGTGAGGTCTCTTGAGCATTAATCACATTCATAAGGGTTTCATCCTCACAACTGAATCATCTCCCAAAAGTCTCGCCTACTGATACCTTCACCTTCGGGAGGCAGGAATTTTGTGGCAGGAATTATATTCAGATCATAGCAAATACACACACACACACACACACACACACACACACACACACACACTCACACATAACGGGCTTCCCCTGCGGCTCAGAAGGTAAGGAATCCACCTGTAATGCAGGAGACGTGGGTTCAATCCCTGGGTTGGGAGGATCCCCTGGAGAAGGAAATGGCAACCCACTCCAGTATTTCTGCCTGGAGAATCCCATGGACAGAGGAGCCTGGTGGGCTACAGTCCATGTGGTCACAAAGACCAGACATGACTGAGTGACTAACACACACACATACAATATATCATAGAATCAGAATGAATACTTGAATGTTTTTAACTGTGTATAATTATATCTTGATAAAAAATTACAAACAACATATCTAGTAAAGCCTCTGGAGAGCTTAGAAGTTACCATTTTACTAAGGAAGAACATGTACATTTGGTATCTTGAAAGTAATACAGTAATTCCTCTCCATTAATAAGCAGTTCCAAAGTGCCAGGCACTACACTAGGGATTTGCTTTATGTAATAATTCAGTAATTCTCTCAACAACCTTTTGAAGCTGGAATGGTCATCATTCCCATTTTATCAGTGGTGAGACTGGTGCCAGAAGGGTGAATATTCTGCCCAGTGTCAGCCTGGCTGCAATTTTGGACCTTTGGGCCATTATCAGAGTTCTGCATGACAACTATTTTACCAAAAGCAAAAGCAGGGAACCGTTAGCTGAGGGAAGGTTATTAAAAAGTCGACCAAAAGAAGAAGAAAATGGCAAAGAAGAAAAGAATGGTATTGATTTCCTGAGCTGGAGCCATAAAAAAGGTTTTCTCCTCCACAAAGAGCAAGAATTTAATTGCTGTCAAACCAAGCTAAAATTATGAAACAGACCCTTTTTTTTTCTTGCATTCTAATAACTTCTCATGCCAACTTCAGATTGCTAGAGCATTTCTAAAAATTATTATTTACAAGGAATTCAATTCTGGTAGGAGATGAGTTTCTGTTCTTAAGGTTGTAGGTCACTTGTACAGTCTTCAGCTAATTGGGTCACCATTATTTCACTCTGCTCATTTAAAATTCCAGTTTTACTCTTTCCCAAGATGTTTTAACAACAACAACAACAAATCTAAAATCCCTAGTTAGTCTTATAATTCAGTTCATAAAAATAAAATCAAGGGAGATTCACTTTTTTCTTCCACAAAGTGGGACAATTTTTTAAAGATAGAACACAGGAAGATATCCAAATAAAGGAAGAATCTCACCATTTTTAAGTCTTGTTTCATTTATACTAAACCAGCTTCATTTTGAATGACGCAAGGAACTAAACACTGTTTAGACCAGGCTTGGCGTGTTCAGTCCTGTGTGAGCCTGCGGCAATATTAGCTATATAACTTGGTCCCAGACTACTCCAGGAAGAAATTATAACTAGGATATTGTGTATGCATGCTCAGTCTCTCAGCCATGTCCAACTATGTGTTATGGCACAGACTGTAGCCCACCAGTCTCCTCTGGACATGGGATTGCCCAGGCAAGAATACTGGAGTGGGTTGGCATGCCCTCGTCCAAGGGGTCTTCCTGACCCAGGAATCAAACCCACGTCTCTGGCATTGGCAGGTGGATTCTTTGCCACTGAGCCATCTGGGAAGCCCAGCTAGGATATTACAGGGGTGCACACATTTGTCATGGCTTTAAAGAGACACGTTCACAGACTGTGAGTGTTCTGGCAAGGCTGCAGTAAGGATGATTGTCCTTCTCTGCCTTTTTCTGCCTTTCTTCCTCCCCAGTCCCTGTCGTGTACACAAGTACACAAGTGTTCACACATCCCCTTATACATATGAACCGAACTGCCTGTCCACAGGCACAGCCGAGCAGTATAAGAAGCTCTGCCAGCCCCCTTCGTGTGCTGTGCTGATCGGACAATTTATTCCTGCAGGTGGCTGCTTGTCAGTGCAATTAGGCCCTGCTCTCCCTGGGACAGATCAAGTGCACCACATGAGCTGGTCCAAGATGGTATTGATACTAGTAATTTTCCACCTGCCAAAAAGTGGAAAGCTTATGCCAAAAGAAGTGAGATGTATGGCCAGGTGCCTAGGCCACGTGGCCGATGCTGTTTTGTGCAAAGAAGTATTCAAGCCTCAGTTCATTATGTCTTGATGGAGGTAGATCATCCTGGGCCCGTTAACAAAGCTTTTTCTTCACAGCCAGAAAAACCCCTGTTCCTCCTTGCGTGGTCCTGCCAATGAAACGTGTTTGCAGTTTAGTGGAAAGAACATGGGCTTCAGAGTAAGAGACCTGTACTCTCATCATAGCTTGAAGGTGTTAGCCCACCAATGAGTAGCAAGCCAAGATTTCAACATGGATTGCTTGAAGCTAGTCCTACCTACCTTTCTGGGATTAGGATGTGCCCTGAGACTTCCTTCTCAGGTGCCACATTACTCTCAGCTATCTAGAGACTTGTGACTTGTGAAAGTTCAGTTAATCTCAGATGATTCCTAATGTGAATCAGATAAATAAAAAATCAGGTGGCTTTGAGCTATAAGAGCTTACAGCATCACTGCCAGAGGGGAGGAAGGAGTGATGATGAGGAGCACAGGCAATAAGGGAGTCACTTGAGTCCACACCCAAGGAACACGAGTGTCCTGGAAGACAAACGAGAAGCCTACAGATTGGCCAGAGCAAATTTCAGATATACTCACAGTAGAATAGGAGGCAGCACATGCTTTGTTAAGGCAGGAGAGGAGCATATTTAAGAGTTCAGTCTCTTCACAGTGACATTATTTACAGTAGCCAATCATGGAAGCCACCTACTAAACAGATGAGTGAGTAAAGAAGATGCAGTCCATATATGCAGTGAAATATTACTCAGCCGTGAAAAGGATGAAATCTTATGTTTGCAGGACCAAGGCAGATTGAAGGGCATTATGCTAAGTGAGACAAGTCAGAGAAAGACAAATACTGTATGATAGCACTTATATGTAGAATCTAAAAACTACAAGAAACCTAGTACATATAACAGAAAAAAATCAGACTCACAGATACAGAGAACAAACCAGTGGTTACTAGTGGGGAGAAGGAAGCAAGCAAGGGGCAAGATAGGAGTGGGCTCTGGGAGGTACAAACTCCTGGCTGTAAGACAGACTTAAGGACGTATTTTACAACATGGGGAATGTAGCCAATATTTTGTCATAACTGCAAATGGAAAGTAACCTTTAAGGATTATATAAAAATATTTTTTTAGAAAAGAGTTCAGTCTCCAGAATTAGCCAGCATTTTAATCCTTATTGCATCACCTACTGACCATGACTTTTGCAAATTATCTGATCCCTTGAGGCTTCAAATGACATATTAAAGGCATCTCCTTTGCAGGTTGGTTGTGAAGGTTAAATGGGAAAATCTATGCAAAGCAGCTGGAAGATAGTAGGTGCTCACTTAGTTCTGCATATTAGATTTGGGGCATCACTATCATCCATGCTCTGATCTATATAACCTGGCTTATAAATACACCCCCCAAAGCAGTGTTCTAACCTGTTCCAATACAAGAAAAAGATGAGGAAACATCTATAAAAAGGGAAACGAGAGCTCTTAGCCCAGCCAATGCTAGTATGTGTTTCTCCAAAAACAAGTTTATTCATCTCTTATCTTCGTTCTACTTATCCTCAAGGCCCATCTCAACTCCACTTGACTTCAATAAAGCTCCAGTTCCCCAAATCAGAGAATTAATTCCTCCTTGTTTTAAATTCCCAAAATTCATCGTATGACTCACTTGCTGCCATTAGTTCTCTCTGTTTGGTACCCTGGTTAATTGCATAACCCTCTCACCAGCTAACTTAGAAAATTCTTGAGGACTCATTGCTGATTCCAAATAGAGCTGCTTGCTTTCAGCTTAGCAAACAATTGTATTATTGCCTATTTAATTAACATTGAGAGCAGAAAATATTTTCATGGACAATAAGACACTGAACACACAAACTAATTGTGGTTCACCAACTTTGTCTCAAAAGTAAAAATGTACTCATAGGGACTTCGTTGGCAGTCTAGTGATTAAGATTTTGCTTTCTAATGCAGGCGGTGCAGGTTTGATCCCTGGTCAGGGAGCTAAGATCCCACATGCCTTGCAGCCAGAAAACCAAAACAATAAAACAGAAGGAATATTGTAACAAATTCAATGAAGACTTTAAAAACGGTCCACGTAAAAAGAAATCTTAAGAAAAGTATACACACAGCCTCACTATATGGTGGAATTTTGGGAAAGACACAATACATGATTCTAATCAGTGAAAGACCCAGAGCCACCTCCACCCTCTCCACCATTTGGCAGCCTTCATGAGCCTCACAGAAAAGATCAAGGAAGGAAGAGAGACCCATAGTTCTGCATATATAGCTGTATTATTGGGAGGAAATGCCTATAGCTCTTTGTTAAAATGAAAGGGAAAATGGGAAGCCACCTAAAAACCCGAGAAAGACAGCTGAAACAGAGTTCAAGACAAATTTCCTTACTATATATATATACATACACACACACATATATAAAACTTCTTTCTCATAAAGGTCATTGCCACAAACCAGTCGACTTGAGCCCAGGATGCCTTCATACAAGTAATTCCTGTGCAGGGATAATTTTTAATTAAACTGCATTTACCTGCCTGTTAAAATTTATCACCAAAACCCTGCACACCTTAACCAATACCCACATATTCCGAGACTATTTAAAACAACTGGTCTCCAGCATTGCAGGCAGATTCTTTACCATTTGAGCCACCTGGGAAGCCCCCAACGGAGGCGAAGTTCTTGGAAAATTGTTGAAATTCTGTCTCTCTTTCACTCACTCACACACACATGCATACACATACACACGCATACACACATATATACACTATTTTGAGTGCACAGAATGATTCAAAATGTACCACCCATTTTGAATAAAAATAGCCCTTCTTCCTGCTGTGTAAGGGGAATTTAGACGGTTTTTTAAGTCAGGGTTTGGATCCAGAAAGGCTTTCCTTTTCAGTCTCAAGAAACACAATAATCCACTTCTATAAGAGAGAAAAATGTGTTTTCCCCAAATATGTTGCACAGAAAAGATAAGACGACTTCTCCCCAGAGGGATGGGAAGAACAAACAGTGCTGTCAGCGCGGGAAGGGCTGCTGCAGAGGGGGCCACATCCCCCTGCCACCCTGATCAGAGAAAGCCAGGAAGCAGGCTGTTTACTTGGGAACCACCATGAGAACCACTGCGCTGCAGTCCTAACCCGAGGGGGCGGGGGAGAAATGACCTCATCTGGCATCTGGGATTCCAGCGCGGCGTGCTTCCCCATCTCCTGCAGCATGGCCTGCTCCTGAGTCTGAGCCTGCAATGCCAAGGTATCAGCCATCACGGCTGTCCTGGCCAGGACACAATGGGGAAGTGGGCCAGAGGTACCTGACAAGGATCTAGGGCAGGAAGGAAAGTCACAAAACTCTTAATTCAGACGGTTGCTGCTGTTCAGTCGCTAAGTTGGGTCTGACTCTTTGTGACCCCATGGACTTCCCCACACCAGGCTTCCCTGTCCTTCACCATCTCCCAGAGCTTGCTCAAACTCATGTCCATTGAGTCAGTGATGCCATTCAACCATCTCATCCTCCATTGCCCCTTCCCCTCCTGCCCTCGATCTTTCCCAGCATCAGGGTCTTTTCCAATGAGTCAGCTCTTCACATCAGGTGGCCAAAGGACTGGAGCTTCAGCTTCAGTCCTTTCAGTGACTATTTTAGGGTTGATGTCCTTTAGGATTGATTGGTTTGATCTCCTTGCAGTCCAAGGGATTGTCAGACTGTCTCTAGGGAAAACGAGGTTGAATTGATCATCTCTGTGGCAGGTTGGAGCCATGTCAATTCAGCTGAGCAGGAACTGTGTTTATCAGGATTCCCTCCATTGAATAATTCCAGCTTAGCCTAGGTCACAGGAAACGTAAACGGTGGGATTTGGAAGTCGGGCATAAATCATATTCTTCTCAAACACTGAAGGTCACTGTGGGTACCCGGGCAGGGACCACACCCCATCGTAGCTCACCTGTGTGACGGCTGCTCTGGCCTCACCTGGCGGAGGTGGGTGGAGGCAGGCACTCTGCTCCTTCTTTCCCCTAGGTGCCTCCCTTCAGGTCCCAGCTCCCAGGACAGGCACAGGCCCAGGGACCCCATGAAGCAGCGCTTTCTCCTGCAGGCCACTCACATTGCTGACGCTGAAAGCTTCCAGCCCTGGATCTGCTGGTCTCTCCCGCCTCACATCTATCTTTCTTTCTTTCTTTTGATTGCCTGCCCTGCTGCTGACTTCAGACTCAGTACCAGAGTCAGAAACAACATACAAACATAAACTTCTTAACCGCCCCCTCGTTGTGAGTGGTCAAATTTTGGTGAAAATAAAAAGAAATTTATTCTATACCACTCTTGGACTTTCCTGGTGGCTCAGCAGTAGAGAATCTGCCTGGAATGCAGGAGATGTGGGTATGGTCCCTGGGGGTGGCGGGGTGGGGGAAGATCCCCTGGAGAAGGGAATGGCAACCCACTCCAGTATTCTTGCCTGGAGAATCCCTTGGACAGAGGAGCCTGATACACTACAGCCCATGGGGTTGCAAAAGAGTCGGACTCAACTTAGCAACTAAAAAACAATAAATACCACTCCTAGTGGTTCTGTTTCATTGGTCAAACCTCGCCTGATCCCGTCTAAATTCCCGAAGACAGTCTGTCCATGTCTTTGGTGCTGGGTTGACCTGGTTATTAACCAGATGGTTTGATATAGGCAAGTCAGGGCTCTTGAGATTTCTGATAAAACTGTCATGAAAATATAACTGTAGAATTGAAAAATGAGACAGGAACAGATGGCAATGAACAATACCCATTCTAAAGCAATGAAAATGACAGCTTAGGTTGAATTGATCATCTCTGTGGCAGGTTGGAGCCATGTCAATTCAGCTGAGCAGGAACTGTGTTTATCAGGATTCCCTCCATTGAATAATTCCAGCTTAGCCTAGGTCACAGGAAACGTAAACGGTGGGATTTGGAAGTCGGGCATAAATCATATTCTTCTCAAACACTGAAGGTCACTGTGGGTACCCGGGCAGGGACCACACCCCATCGTAGCTCACCTGTGTGACGGCTGCTCTGGCCTCACCTGGCGGAGGTGGGTGGAGGCAGGCACTCTGCTCCTTCTTTCCCCTAGGTGCCTCCCTTCAGGTCCCAGCTCCCAGGACAGGCACAGGCCCAGGGACCCCATGAAGCAGCGCTTTCTCCTGCAGGCCACTCACATTGCTGACGCTGAAAGCTTCCAGCCCTGGATCTGCTGGTCTCTCCCGCCTCACATCTATCTTTCTTTCTTTCTTTTGATTGCCTGCCCTGCTGCTGACTTCAGACTCAGTACCAGAGTCAGAAACAACATACAAACATAAACTTCTTAACCGCCCCCTCGTTGTGAGTGGTCAAATTTTGGTGAAAATAAAAAGAAATTTATTCTATACCACTCTTGGACTTTCCTGGTGGCTCAGCAGTAGAGAATCTGCCTGGAATGCAGGAGATGTGGGTATGGTCCCTGGGGGTGGCGGGGTGGGGGAAGATCCCCTGGAGAAGGGAATGGCAACCCACTCCAGTATTCTTGCCTGGAGAATCCCTTGGACAGAGGAGCCTGATACACTACAGCCCATGGGGTTGCAAAAGAGTCGGACTCAACTTAGCAACTAAAAAACAATAAATACCACTCCTAGTGGTTCTGTTTCATTGGTCAAACCTCGCCTGATCCCGTCTAAATTCCCGAAGACAGTCTGTCCATGTCTTTGGTGCTGGGTTGACCTGGTTATTAACCAGATGGTTTGATATAGGCAAGTCAGGGCTCTTGAGATTTCTGATAAAACTGTCATGAAAATATAACTGTAGAATTGAAAAATGAGACAGGAACAGATGGCAATGAACAATACCCATTCTAAAGCAATGAAAATGACAGCTATAAACTTTAAGAATTCTGAATCAGAGGCTATTTCAAGGAATGTATGCTCAATTTATGTGTGGAGCCATATATAAATATATATACATATATAAGTGTGTCTATACATATATATAAATATTATAAAAGTATAAATATATATATATATACAGAGAGAGAGTTAAGACACCATATTACCCAGCAGACATCTCCATGGGACTCATTTCTGTAAGCAAATATGAATCGATAAGCTGCCAAAGGAATACTGAAATGTGAATCCTTAATCCAGGCTGGTTTGTAGAAAATAACATTGCTTTGTAAATCTGAGAAATAAAAATGATTGGTTATATCAGATCATCCCACCCTCTTCTATATTTCTTCTTTATACTTTATCTCATTTCCAAAAGTATTTGAGGCAGCTTGTGACACATGTACACCAAAAAAATAAGTTGATGATGAAAATGGAGCAAAGGAAAACTATAAGTATAAAACAGAGCAGGTTTGAAATGAATTCAGAAACGTATACAAATTCAAAAGAATGCACACAACTAATTCCCGTGCAGCTGAGTATAAGATGTATCCACAGTGTGGCCCAGAGTCCTGAAAAGCGAAGGCAGTATTGGACTAAATGAATGAAGATTTAATATCCTGTGTATGGAAACCGATAATTTAATTTTGCTCTATACTAATCAGGTCTTTCCTACAAGGTTTATTCAATTTATGGTTTCAGGTCCTAAAAGATTTAGAGAACAGGTTCAGTTAAGACTAAGAAAGAGGCGGGGGGAAACTTGGAAATAATGCCTTGGGAAGAATGGTTAAAGGAGCTGAACAGTTTTAACCTAAAAGAAGGAAGATTTTATGAGACAGAATAATTGTGCTCAGTGGAATAGGGCAAAACTGAATGTATTACCTGGGAATAAACAGAAGGTCAGAGTAAGGATAAAGAAGATAAATGTAAGCTGAATGCAGGATTCACATTTACACACACATAAACATGAAATCAAAGTCTGTAAGCAAGTAAGATTCCTCCTTGCTGGGATGTCAGAGGAGAGGCAAACCCCAAGTGTGAGCCTGAAAAAAGATGTCAGCTGTCGCTTCCTGTCTTGATCCACATTATAAATGCCACCCCAGCACTGGGGGACACGCTTTTTCCAAAAGTCATAGGCCAAGTGCTTGCAGTTTAGAGACAGAACAAAGCTCTGGTGGGCTTCCCTGCTGGTTCAGCGGCTAAGACCCGGAGCTCCCACTGCAGTGGGACTGGGTTCAATTCTGGTCAGGGAACAAGATCCCAAGTGCCACAACTAAGAGCCTGTATGCTGCAAGGAAGACCTGCGTGCCGCAAATAACACCCAGCACAGCCAAACACAGACATAAGTGAAAATAAAAATTTTTTTAAAAAGCATTGGCCATAGTTTGAGTGGCCTTCTCAAACCAAAAAAAACAAAAACCAAAAAAACACAAAAAAGGAACCCTAATTGTGAACAGCTGAGAGCTTTGTTCTTTTTCCTGGGGAACTGGCAAGAGAAAGACGGCCACACCTGAGACAGGCCTGTGAGGGACGCCCTCCCCAGTTCTCCTTGGTCATTTCTCACACTTAAGAACGCTTCCCGTGCGTGCTCCCTGTGGTAGACCACAGGCCAGAGGCTGGATGCCAGCCCACAGGCTTAACCCTATGTGGCATTTAAAATTTTAAAATTAGTTCCCCAAAAAATAAATAAATAAAATAAAATAAAATAAAATTAGTTCCCAACATTTAAAACGAAGGAAAATTCATGCGGAATTTGAGATTGGCAACTAGTCTTGAAGAACAGAAAATCAGCATTCAGGAGTCTAGCAATGTCCTAGAACGTTGCTGTAATTTACCAACAGGGCGAATCTGTCTGGTGAAGCACTGCTGGTACAATACTGCTTCAAGTATTTAGGTGCACCCACTGTTCCCTGTAGCACTGTTTACAACAGACAAGACATGGAAGCAACTCAAATGTCCATCAACAGAGCAATGGATAAAGAAGACGAGGTACGTGTCTACAGTGAAATATTATTCACCCATTAAAAAGAATGAAATAATGCCGTTTGCAGCAACGTGGATGAACCTGAAGATTTTCATACTGAGTGCAGTAAGTCAGACAGAGAAAGAGAAATATCATGCCATGTCCCTTACATTCAGAATCTAAAATGAAATGATACAAATAAACTTATTTACAAACAGACTCACAGACTTCGAGAAATAACTTATGGTTGCCAGGGGGTGGGGTGAAGAATAGGGAGAAGGGATAGTTAGGGAGTTTGGGATGGACATGTACACACTGCTATGTTTTAAATGGATAAGCACCAAGGACCTACTGAGTAGCACAGAGAACCCTGCTCGATGCTATGTGGCAGCCTGGATGAGAGGGGAGTTCAGGAGAGAATGGATACATGTATAGGTACGGCTGAGTCCCTTTGCTGTCCATCTGAAACTATCTCAACATTGTTAATCGGCTATACTTCAATATAAAACAAAGAGAAATTTTTTTTTTAAGAATAGAAAGACTTGGGACTCCTGAGCCCACTTTCCTGCTTGGCACCGTCAGTCCTGAAGCTGGATTCAGTCTCCCTTCTTTAGATGCAGCCTGGCCCCAGCTGCCACCTTTCCTCTCTGGTTCTTGCGTTTGCATGGCCTGACAGGCCCCAGTTGAATACGGAATCGCTGCCATGTATTTTGAGCACACCAAATGTTAGACTTTTTTACTTGTATTTTGTTGGACTGGTAAATTTTTAGTGTTTGTGTTTCTTCTTAGGAATGTCTTAGCAGGGTTCTGCAGAGAACAGAGCCTGAGGCAAGGATTAAGTACTTTGGGAAGTCCAAACCTAGGGCAAGAAGAGTACAGAAAAAGGAAAGTGAGGCAGGAAATCATAGGAAGCAACTTTTGGGAGCTGGATGACATTTCTGGGCATTGCAAACCACTTAACAGGTGCAAACACTCAGCCGGGTGGGATGCAGCAGATGAGTTTGTACCTGAAACTTCCCTTCGACCTTTTCCCATTGGTCCAAGTTTGCATCATTGGAAATTGAGCTCTCTACGCTTCTGGACTGTATGACCTTTTCCTTTGGTGGCCTTTATGATGCCAGACTCAAGCCCCAAGTTTTGATGTGAAGTGAAAGTCACTCAGTCGTATCCAAATCTTTGTGACCCCATGGACTGTAGCCTGCCAGACTCCTCTGTCTATGGAATTCTCCAGGCCAGAATACTGGAATGGGTAGCCACTCCCTTCTCCAGGGGATCTTCACAACCCAGGGATTGAACCTAGGTCTCTTGCATTGCAGACAGATTCTTTACCAGCTGAGCAATAGTTCTATCCAATTCTTAAAACTAGAGGAGGAGACAGAAACTTCAGATGTGTGACTGCTGGGGTGGGCTGTGTGGTGGCAGCCGAGGGCGGTGGAAGAGGTGCTTGGCCCAGGTGGTGGGACTCTGAATGGAATTTCAGCCATTGACAAAAAGCAAGTGAATGGGGACTTCCCTGGTGGTCCTGTGGTTAAGAATCTGCCATGAAATGCAGGGGACATGGGTTCAATCCCCAGTCAGGAACTATATCCCACATGCCACTGGGCAACAGGGCCTACACACCACAATTAAAGTCCATGAGCCTCAAGGAAAAATCTTACATGATGCAACAAAGATCCTGTGTGCTGTGACTAAGGCCCTATGCAGCCAAAATAAGTAATTAATTAAAATGTTAAAAACAAGTTAGTGTTATTAGTATGAGGTGGAGAGGGGTCTCATACCATCTGCTTTTTGTAGAGTTATAAGCTATAAATGACTTTACCTTTTTAAATGGTTGGAATAATTCAAAGGAAGACAACTTCATGATGCATACAAATTATATGAAATTCCCATATCAGGTCCATAAATAAAGTTTTTTCGGGACACAGCCATGCTCCTTCATTCACGTGTCGCAGACATGTCGACGGCAGACACCATATGGCCTGCAAAGCATAAAATACCTACCATCAGGCCCTTCACAGAGAATGTTGGTTAACCTCTGGTCTAAGAAAGCCACTTCAGTGTCTTTGAGTCAAGAAGCAGAAATAAACATTCTCACCAAAATGCACTAGGGCTATAATGACTCAAAAATGATGCTAAATGTGACTACAACTGACACAGCCCACTTCTGCCCTCGTATAAATAATAACTGTGCTCTGTGAGCAGTCAGAAGAGGCTTCATTCTTAATGCCCTGTGCTCTACTTATGGAATTACCTACAAAAAGGCAAAATAACTTTTATGGCTTTAACCCCAATAGCAATATAGTAATTCTTTTCTCAGATGAAAATAATCCCAGAGCATTATCCTTACACATGCAACAGGGCCAGAAAGAGAACTGATATTATTTGTCTATTATGTTTCTAATTCAAGCCACATTGTTTTTGAATTTTAAAATGCTACATGGAAAAAAATTTAAAAAACGTGTATTCACAGAGAAACCCCAGCTCTGAGCAACCTTCTGCGTGCCCCAGGGGTATGTTTACCTTGGGTATCGTTTGACCAGAGTTGAAGGCTCTCAAAATGGGCTTCGCAGGTGGCGCTAGTGGTAAAGAACCTGCCTGCCAATGCAGAAGAAGTAAGAGACGTGGCTTCTATCCCCGGGTTAGAAAGATCCCCTGGAGGAGGGTATGGCAACCCATTCTAGTATTCTTGCCTGGAGAATCCCATGGACAGAGGAGCCTGGCGGGCTATGGTCCATAGGGTTGCAGGGCGTTGGACATGACCGAAGCGACATAGCATGCACGCTCTCTAGCATAAAGGCTCGCAGTGGGCCAGGTGAAACCTAACACACTCACACGAACGATAGGCCCGATTTCGCTGACAGCTGGAGCTGAGAAGCAATCTGTGGGACTGCCTATATTAAGAACTCTGTACAAAGAAAGATTCTGAGCATTTCAAGGAGATCTTTTATTTGGACGTGAAGTTCTGTTTATTCGCGTGCTCCGAAGGCATTCTCTGAGAGTCTAACAGTGCTAGGTGTGAGGTGAGATATGCGGGACACAGGTCCTGCCCTGACACTTGGGATCTCATCAGCCGACACCCGGGCCCCTGTGGCCTGGCTGCTGTCCACACTGCATTCCCTCCCAGAATAGCCTTCTCTGGGGACCTGGGCTCCCAGGGGAACAGCATCCAACTGTTCTTGGCTCCACTTCCCAGGGCCAGCCTGGCTTTTCACGGCAGCTGGAGAGCAGGCCAGCCTCTCCTGGCATGCCTGCCTCTGAGCCAAGAGTGAGCAGAGCCTGTTTTTCCAGGAGAGGACCCAGCTCGGGTCCAGGACAGCAGGTTCCCCCACCACCCGCCCTGCACAGCAATGGAGACACCTCTCTGCTTCTCAGCTGCTGACCTACTCTGTGAGAATCAAGCACTCCCCTGATCTGTCTCAAAGTGGATCTTCCTTTGTTTCTTACCAGACCTCAGGATCTGAAGCTGGAATTTGAGTCCTTTCTGATATGACTGTCTAGGCATGGGGAGGGGTCTCTGAAACATCCAAGTGATAACACTCTGCATATATGATAAAAGCTCTCACCAGTGCCTCCTAAGAACTGTGTGTTAGCTGCTCAATTGTGTCCAATTCTTTGCAAGCCCATGGGCTGTAGCCTGCCAGGCTCCTCTGTCCATGAGATTCTCCAAGCAAGAATATTGAAGCGGGTAGTCATTCCCTTCTCCAGGGGATCTTCACAACCTAGAGTTCAAACCCAGGTCTCCTGCATTGCTGGCAGATTCTTTACCAATAGTGCTTTTTTTTTTTAATTTAAAAATATTTTTTAAGTGGTTCTCTATGAGGCAGCACAGTGCAGTAGAACTCATGTAAGTGTTCTTAGATTACTTCCCACCTTTTGGCCATTAAACCTGAATCCTTATTGTCAAACCTCTCCTCCAAAGGTACAGGAAAGCTGTATTCCTGGGTGGTCTGGGGTAAGAATTCTGTCACTTGAATATCATTCAAAATTCTGAATTCTTATCTTCTTTTAAGAATTTAGAAAAGGATATGGTCATAACATTTTAGAATGCTATGGAGACAATAAAAAGATCAGTGGTTGCCAGGGGTAAGGGAGGAGGGGAGGATGAAGAGGCAGAGCACAGAGGCGTTTTAGGGCAGGGAAGAAAGGCGTTTTAGGGCAGAGATGGTATCTGCACGATACCATCATGGTAGAGATGTCATCTACATTTGTTCAGAAACAGACTGCTCAGCACCAAGAGGGAACGTAACAGGGCAGGGACCCTGACAGGGGGCAGAACCTTCACTGTACCAAGAGCAGGAGAGAGGTGGTCTCAGGCAGGAGCCAGTCAGTGATGGGAGTGAGGCGCCAGCTTCAAGGCAGCACAGGTTACCCTCCAGAGGGTCTGGAACTGGACACTAGAAGCCGGGACACCAAGACGGGGGTCAAACAGGACGGTTCCTGACCCCACGGGACAGATGGGCAGGCTGCTGTGGGTCCGGAGAGCATGTTTAAGTGAATTAGCACCAGGCACCCCCTTGGCAGACAGCCCTGCATCAGGGGCCGCGACTTGGCACCAGCTGGTGGACTGGATTTCTGCCTGGCCCGCTCTGCCAGCCTGGCACCTTTGTATAGGACTCAGATTGTAAGCTCACACAGCGACCCCGAGGATGAGAGCTGTGACGGCCAGGGTCTGCCTTAATCCTCCCACTCTGGGAAACTGAGTTGGCCCCCGGGGCTGGGGCCGTCTCAGCAGGTGGGGTCTGCAGAACTTGGAGGCAGGCAGCCAGGGCTCTCATTACATGTGCTGGGCTCCAGAACAATCCTTTAATCCCACCAACAATCCCTGCAAAGAGAAACACTGATTCTCCTTTTATTTAATTAGAGGACTGTTGTCTCATGAGCAGGCTGCCTGATTTATGAATACCTATTGTTCAAAATGTAATTGCATATTCAGCCCTGCTCAATGGGAATGGGACCATGTGGGCTTGTAGTGCTTGCTTTACATTTTTAAAATCCTTTGCTTCAGTGTATAGAAGTCATTTCATTCTGATGCACACAATCAAGGCATTCCAGGAGGCACTGTGTGATTATGTGTTATTTTGGATCATCGTTAAGACTCACGGAGAAGACTGTGCCAAGCCAGCCAGAACGCAGCCAGGCTAACCGTAAAGACTTAGCATTTGGAATAATAACCAGGCTAAGGCTGAATCGCAGAGGTGCCCATAACCCCAGTGGAAAGAGATCCATTTTAAATGAATGAATGACTGAATCATACTGTCAAGCCTGTAGGACCACATAACAGCAATCCATTATTTCCCCCCCGCCCACCCCGGATACCTTGATGTTCTCTAGTTACTCAGATACACTTTAGAGAAAATTTAGACGGACCTTTGTCACCCAAGTAATGTGTCTGCTTTTTATTATGCTGTGTAGGTTGGTGATAGCTTTCCTTCCAAGGAGGCAAGACTAAAGGGACAGAAAAGCTCACAAAGATCAGGAGAGACCGTCTGAGACACGGCACACACCCTCATCTTGTCAGCAACCTCACCACTGAAACATTGCTATAAAACTCCTCAGCAAGTCCGCCTGGGCTGGGATACACAGCTGTTGGAGGTGGGAGCCACTTGCCTGGCAAAACAATAAAGCTATCCTTTTCTATTTCACCCAAAATTCTGTTTCTGAGATTTGATCCGGCACCTGTGCAGAGAAGCCAAGTTTTCAGTAACATTAACACCACCCAGATCTAGAAAGACACTATGACATACACCCACAATGTACTGCTTATGCACTCATCAGTCAACACACCTGCCCTCCTCCCCACTGATAGCCATGATCCTAACTTCTAGTACCCTTGTTCAACTTTACTTACTTTTTAAACTTCATATAAATGGAATTTAAAAATCTATATTCTTTCATATCTGGCTTTCTTTCACCAAACTCGGTGTCTGAGACATTCACACATGGCTGTACAGTATGAATACACTGTGACTGACTTACCTATTTTATGTTTAGTGAAGTCTTCATCTTCACCCCAACACCGATCACACAGAATTAACTCCTTCAAACTCACTGTCTACTTGAAGACAAGGTTTCATTATTTCCCTCATATTCTGGTCTCCTGATTACTTCAATCAAAGAGTGAGCCTCTGGACTCTACAGCATGTCAATTACGTCTCTGTGCTTAGTCTGAATTCATGAAAGTATGGTCTGTTTGTGTGTCCGTGGTTTACTTTTTTAAGATTTTTTTTTTAATGTGGACCATTTTTAAAGTCTTTATTGAATTTGTTACAATTTTACTTCTGTTTTATGTTTTGGATTTTTGATAGAGAGGCATTTGGGATCTTAGCTCCCCGATCAGGGCCTGCGCCCACACACCCGACGTTGGAAGGTTCAGTCTTCACCACTGGGCCACCGGGGAAGTTCCTGGGTGTCTGTGCTTTAACTATCCCATGTAAGATACTTCACCGATTCATTTTCCCTAAAGAAAGAAAATTCCCTTCACCACCTTAGCCCACAATTCTCAATAGCCTCTTCCTATGCCACAGGGAATAGTTCAGGTTGATCTGAAACATGATTCCATGAGAAAAGGGGTCTCCTTTGTGGTTTCCAAACTGCATTCACTCTCTGCCCACGTCGAGTGGCTGATCACTGCAGCGGGCACCATCATAAAATGACAGCAGAGAGAGGAAGGGAGAAGCTGTATGCAATGTCAAACTTATCATGGTTTTCTGGGTTTAAAAGATGTTCATTATTTCCTAAATTTATCACAATCTTTCAAGTTTTTAAATTCAAATTTTCCCTTTTGGGGGAATGACTTGAATAACTTAGGAGAGAGATAACTGCTACTGAAATCCCAGTGCTGGGAGGGGCTGGAGTGGGGGCAGTGCCCTGTGGGCTCCTGGGAACGGAAGCTTTTTTTTCCTGTTTCTTGTGGGGAAGATTCCAGCCTGGGTGACCTTCCTGGAGTTCCAAAGGGCAGATTCAAACAATTGCTCCTCGAGGGAGGAGCAGCCAAGAAACCACCTGAGGCAAGACTCAGTTCAGGGGCTCAGTCCTGCCCTACTCTTTGCGACCCCACGGACTGCAGCACGCCAGGCTTCCCTGTCCTTCACCAACTCCCGGGGCTTGCTCAAACTCACGTCCATTGAGTCGGTGATGCCATCCAACCATCTCATCCTCTGTCGTCCCCTTCTCCTCCCGCCTTCAATCTTGCCCAGCATCAGGGTCTTCCTCTTTGCATCAGGTGGCCAAAGGATTGGAGTTTCAGATTCAGCATCAGTCCTTCCAGTGAATATTCAGGACTGATCTCCTTTAGGATGGACTGATTGGATCTCCTTGCAGTCCAAGAGACTCTCAAGATCTTCTCCAACACCACAACTGAAAAGTATCAATTCTTTGGTGCTCAGCTTTCTTTAGAGTCCAACTCTCACATCTATACATGACTACTGGAAAAACCATAGCCTTGACCAGACGGACCTTTGTCACCCAAGTAATGTGTCTGCTTTTTATTATGCTGTGTAGGTTGGTGATAGCTTTCCTTCCGCCTCTTTCCAAGGAGGCAAGACTAAAGGGACAGAAAAGCTCATAAAGATCAGGAGAGACCGTCTGAGACATGGCACACACCCTCATCTTGTCAGCAACCTCACCACTGAAACACTGCTATAAAACTCCTCAGCAAGTCTGCCTGGGCTGGGATACACAGCTGTTGGAGGTGGGAGCCACTTGCCTGGCAAAACAATAAAGCTTTCCTTTTCTATTTCACCCAAAATTCTGTTTCTGAGATTTGATCCGGCACCTGTGCAGAGAAGCCAAGTTTTCAGTAACATTAACACCACCCAGATCTAGAAAGACACTATGACATACACCCACAATGTACTGCTTATGCACTCATCAGTCAACACACCTGCCCTCCTCCCCACTGATAGCCATGATCCTAACTTCTAGTACCCTTGTTCAACTTTACTTACTTTTTAAACTTCATATAAATGGAATTTAAAAATCTATATTCTTTCATATCTGGCTTTCTTTCACCAAACTCGGTGTCTGAGACATTCACACATGGCTGTACAGTATGAATACACTGTGACTGACTTACCTATTTTATGCTTAGTGAAGTCTTCATCTTCACCCCAACACCGATCACACAGAATTAACTCCTCCAAACTCACTGTCTACTTGAAGACAAGGTTTCATTATTTCCCTCATATTCTGGTCTCCTGATTACTTCAATCAAAGAGTGAGCCTCTGGACTCTACAGCATGTCAATTACGTCTCTGTGCTTAGTCTGAATTCATGAAAGTATGGTCTGTTTGTGTGTCCGTGGTTTACTTTTTTAAGATTTTTTTTTTAATGTGGACCATTTTTAAAGTCTTTATTGAATTTGTTACAATTTTACTTCTGTTTTATGTTTTGGATTTTTGATAGAGAGGCATTTGGGATCTTAGCTCCCCGATCAGGGCCTGCGCCCACACACCCGACGTTGGAAGGTTCAGTCTTCACCACTGGGCCACCGGGGAAGTTCCTGGGTGTCTGTGCTTTAACTATCCCATGTAAGATACTTCACCAATTCATTTTCCCTAAAGAAAGAAAATTCCCTTCACCACCTTAGCCCACAATTCTCAATAGCCTCTTCCTATGCCACAGGGAATAGTTCAGGTTGATCTGAAACATGATTCCATGAGAAAAGGGGTCTCCTTTGTGGTTTCCAAACTGCATTCACTCTCTGCCCACGTCGAGTGGCTGATCACTGCAGCGGGCACCATCATAAAATGACAGCACAGAGAGGAAGGGAGAAGCCGTATGCAATGTCAAACTTATCATGGTCTTCTGGGTTTAAAAGATGTTCATTATTTCCTAAATTTATCACAATCTTTCAAGTTTTTAAATTCAAATTTTCCCTTTTGGGGGAATGACTTGAATAACTTAGGAGAGAGATAACTGAGAATCATTTTCCCTAGAAACATTTTAATGCTTC